GCACTAAAATATCTTTGCTGGACTAGTTATGTTAGAATGCATTAAAAACAAACATTCAAAAATGTCAAAATGCTACAAAATTTTAACTAAAAATTACAAAATCAAATTTCAGTACATGCATTTCATCAGTCATCTATCAGTCACTTTTTCACAACAACAGTTTACTAGAGTGGTTCAACGTAACCTCATGATGTACATTCCAGAAAAATATGGAAGCCAATATGGGTAATATACAATTTCATCACAGAATATTTAAGGGTACCAATTTATGACCTTTCACTTATTTTGTTCAGAGTCTATCATGTGGATGATATGTAACAGAGGTCATAATTTATTTCAATACCTTCGCTTTGATTTAGAAATGGAACCTCTCGCTTACTAATATTACGCTCAACCAATCAAGCTAAAGTTCTCTCTTGCCAAGAGACGTATTACAACTTGTATTTACCAGGGTCACAAACTTTCCCTCCAGGCAAGAACTCATCCTCAAGAATCCAGAGTTACAGAGAAGTGTATGTGGTTAAGTATCATTCTCAGCTTCCTACAAAATGTGTATGGGCTTTAACCCTTTCAGTGCAAAATATCTCTCACAATGTACATCTCAGCGCCAAATATCTCTCACAATGTACAGCTCAGCACCAAATATCTCTCACAATGTACAGCTCAGCGCCAAATATCTCTCACAATGTACAGCTCAGCGCCAAATATCTCTCACAATGTACAGTTCAGTGCCAAATATCTCTCACAATGTACAGCTCAGCGCCAAATATCTCTCACAATGTACAGCTCAGCGCCAAATATCTCTCACAATGTACAGCTCAGCACCAAATATCTCTCACAATGTACAGCTCAGCGCCAAATATTATAAAAATATATATAATAAAGATATAAAAATTTACAGGCTCTAGCGCCGGCCTCTCACAATGTACAGTTCAGTGCCAAATATCTCTCACAATGTACAGCTCAGTGCCAAATATTATAAAAATATATAAAATAAAGATATAAAAATTGCCGACCAAAGTCGCCTACGGCACCGAAAGGGTTAATATAACAGATCAAGCTAGAGAGGTTACAGATATGTATTTACCAGGGTTAAATGTATACAATAGTTAATTAACGTACATTTGGAGGTGACACCAAGACAACATATGTCTCCCTATAAATTCCTCAAAGCATGTGGATCTCTTCCGTACTCAGTCCATAGGAAACACAGATTTCTACAATATTTGATAAAGAAACTTCCAAATAACCTGCAGAAAACTGAGGTTTAAAAATACTTAAATATCTTGTTGTTGTAAAGTAGATCCAAAACAAATTCAATTATATTTCTCCATGAAAAAAATTACAAAAACGAAAATTAAATGAAATCAATAATGACTCTTACAATTACAAATACACAATATCACAAGTGAAATTACAAAACAGAGATGTTTCTGGGAAACTATTAAAAATTATCCTTCATACAAAAATGTATATTGCAATTTTTACAGTAAGACATAACTGACCTAACACCTTTCCACCATGTAAATTGTCTGCCAGAAAGTCTAACTGTTCACCAGTCTAAGGGAGATAATCGGTTTCAGATTCATAAATCATTGCTACCATGACTTTGCGTTCATTTTTAGAAAAGACCTCACACAATTAAGTCTCAAGACATTGTGCTGTATATATTATTCCACAATTGTAGTAATAAAAGTACAAAAGGTGTTAAGTCTCTTTTCCCCTTATTGTATAGCTGGTTTTAAATTCAGGAAAGAGTATAGACAGTGATCTCTCAATTTCAAATCCCAAAATAGTAGAAGGATAAAATTTCAGTTTTCACAGTTTTATCTTGTGACAGAAAGGTGAACTCTTATTCCTCTCACTGTCCTTTACATCACGTCCTTATCCCAATATAGAAAATGTTGTCCTTCCTACTGGGACAAAATACAGTGAACACCAGCTCTGTTTTCTGTTGATACAGTTAGGGTCTGTTCAGGAGAAAAAGAAGTTAATTAAATGTAATGATAATTCTTTTAGCTACACATATGCACTGTTTATAATTGCAAAAATATAATTTCCTACCATGTTTTCGAGGGAACAAGTCAGTCAATTTTAAAGACAATTGATAAAACAAAAGGCCCATAAGGCATGTATTGCCCACCTGGATTACTTTGCTGAAATTGATTTATTTTAACTAAGAGTAAAGTATTTAAAACAATTGTACCTATTTCACCGTAGCAGGCTTAACCCTCCTTCAAAAAGGGGTTAGATGCAACTAAGTTCTCAACATAATAAAGATTTTAAAGAATGTGATCCATGTCCATTATTTTGCCCCACTCCTTTGATCCCTTTGATCCTGTTTATATAAAATTGATCCCCTTTTCCCAAGCATGTCTCACACCAAATTGGGTCAGAATCAATGTATTCCTACATAAGAAGAATGATCTCGAAGAATTTGCTGCTTCCCCCATTGGGCCCCATCACTCCTGCTATACAGGGCCGAGATCCATCTATCCTCCAAAATGATACCTCTCCACGCAAGCGTACATCGGACCAAATTGGGACAACATCCAGTTATTCCTACAGAAGGATTATAAAGGCTCCAAAGAAACCTGATTTCCTTCCACCAAGCATGCTTCAAACCAAATTAGGACTATAGCCTCCAATTCTTAAAAAACAAGATAGATTTTAAATATTTTGATAGATTTCCCTATTGGGCCCACTAGCATGCCCCACTGGCCTCAGGAGTCGGATTTATAGTGTATAAAAAATTGAGTCCACTTCACCCAAGGATACTTCTGAATAAATTTGGACAAAATATTTTCATCTTAGCAGAAGGATTTTAAGGCTATTTTTTTTCACTATCAAATTTAGTCGAAATGCTTTCCCCTGACAGGAGAAGAACGGCTTTAAAGGGTTTCATGGTGAAACTTTTTTTCGTTTACAACAGGTTTTTTTCCCAGTAAGAAATGCCTACACATGCCATGTCTTTGTCAAATTTAGTCAAAACACTTTCATCCCAACAGGAGAAGATAAATTTTCAAGGGTTTTGGCAACAATTTCATTTCAGCTCAAACATGCCTATTTTATTTACATACATACAACTTAGATTTAACATCAAACCTCCTCCTATATATTGTGTAATATCAACAGCAGGCTACATTGTATTAATATTTATCTATTCTTTTATCTATTTTCTTTAAAGAATAGCCTTAAACAGACACAACTATGCATTTTATTATTACATAAATGACTGTGTCCAAGAATTACCACATTAATACCAAAGGCTATATAATGAAGATATGATCAACAGTAACGTTTGACCTTTAACCAAGTCAGATGATTACTGAAATCTAACGAAGTTTAGATCTAGGTGGCTCTGGTGGGAATATAAAGTAAAGCTGTCAAGCAGAAACAAGATTTTACATTGGATGGAGGTATGACATTTAACCTTGACTGTTGACCACCAAAATCTTTGGTAAGGTAATGCTATGAAGATCTATGTTAAGTTCAATGAGCTTTATCAATTTGTTTTTCTTTAGATACATTTTTGTCAGGATTTTTTGTTTCTGGGGCCTGAACCAAAACATATTGAATTGTTATCTCAGTTTGAAAATTTATAAAAAATATTTCCTTCAACTGTGATCTACTAAAACATTTAAGCACAAAAAGAATCTTTAGAAGACGCAGAATGCAAACAAGTCTAGGTCTGTTCAACTACAGGAGGGGTCAGCTAGATTCTGTCATCCATTAATGTAGGCAAGATAATCAGTCTAAACACTGCCTGTATTTATCATAGTCAAAATCGCCTGACAGCCATCCTCTTTTCTCAATGGTAAGTCCCAACATACAATATAGATAACTACAGACTAAAGCAAGCTTACATATAAAATTTAATCACGATACATCCAACAATTCTAAAGTAACAGCTAAACCAAACTCTGACTGTTAAACAACAAGACGGTCGTCTTGATTTTCTCATCAGTTAAAAAATAAACTGTGCACAAGTAGGGACCACGAGAAAGTTACAAATGAAACTTGAGAATCATCCATCTTGTACTTCAAGAGCGATAAAAAAACATAACTGTCAAAAATAAAACTGGCTGCCTGCCAGCCATCTTGATCCTCCCAAAATGATCTATGCACAACTTGGGACCAAGGCAAATCTACATATGAAATTGGAGACCAATGCATTTGGTACTTCTAAAATACCAATTAGCTATAATTGTTATAGGACAAACGGATGGATATTTAAAACACGCAACAACAACTAAAACATCACAAATATAGGACTACCTAAAGAGGGAACCTCCACATGGTAGCTTCATAATCTATTATCTGTTGAAATATAATGACGCTAATAGAACCATCTTAGGACACATAAAACAGGAGTTAGGAAGAATTTAAAACCTCAACAATGTGATCAAAAATTCACAACAGCGATTTGAACACTATCACAACTTGTTTAAGAGAGATATTGATAATTGATTGTTATCAAAGAATATTAGCTGGTATATACCATTTTGTCGCATGACCATGATTGCATTGAAATGATTATACCTTTTCCAGTTCTTGCCAGGTTGAGGTCTCCTTTCAAGAATCAAAATGATTTGTGTGATGTTAAATCACTCTGACAACATTAAAGTGTCACTGTCGTGATGGTAACTGCCTGGCTTGTATGTAATCTGGCATGCTGATTACTCCTACAATAAGAGAAGTAGAATTTTACAAAAATAGTAAACAAACATTTATGTTAAATACGATGTCAGGGTATTTCAATGCTTTGTCATTATATCTGTGTTATTTGTGGCGACAATGTCTGTACCATATTTTTCTCAACTATAAGTCGCATCGGTATATAGACAAGAGAGCCAATTTTTATCAACTTTTTCAATTTGATTCACACATTTGCCACACTGGCATGTAAACCACTACATTTTCTTATTATATGGAAACCATTATGTTGACCAAAATTTGTTGATAAAACAGATGATGGAGGTCAATTTATCAACATCATTTAGATGTGATTTCAAAATTATTCTGGTCATTCAAAATACATAAAAATATCCAATATCAAATTTGTTTGGCTTGGGGCCTTCAAAGATTGTCTACGCACAAATATAGGACCTGATGCTACAAATGGTTTTCTAAACAATCTTTCCACCAATGTCTATGCAGTAAAATATTAATGAAGGCCCGTGCATGCTGAAAAAATTATTATAGTCTCATAATATTTCTTCTTGTTTTCTTATTTTCTTCAGTTGCAGTAAGCCATTCATATCATAAATAAGCATGGCAGCCATTGTGGAATATGTCCAATTATCAGATGACCCATCAATCCCAGGGTGCAATAGGCTTAATTGTTAACTTCTTCCATGCCTTCTTGCAACTGCTGTGAAGTAACCACAAAAGTCTAGAAGATATTATTGTGATCCATATTAAATCCTTGAGAATGTTATTTTCATTGCGATTTTCAAATCATCTTGTGTATGATTACAAGTGATGGTTCTACAGGATCCGTTTCAGTCACAAAACATCGTGGGCAGATACTCATAAAAAATGCAATATCTTACCGGTATGCTACAAATTTTTTTTGCATTCTGCAGACTTTTTTTCTGTCCACATCTAAGTCACACTGGTATATAAGCCATACACCCAACCCATGAGGGAAAAATTTGCTGCTTATAATCTTATACTTATAATAAAGTATGGTATGTATAACATTGTTGTATGAATTTTCCTTACCCTCATTCGTTGACATTAGATCTTTCCAACTGTCTTCAAGGGCGTGGAACTTGACATCTCCTGGTCAGCATACTAAAAGGCAAATATACATGTCATTAGAGATGTATGCATTTCTAATAGAAAAAGAAATTATTGTAAAACCCCATGTATTATGCAGTTTTTTTTTTTTTTTTTTTTTTTGGTTTGTTTGTTTATTTTTGAGAGAAAATAAAGGCCAAAAGCAGAGGTGTACATATATTATAGCTATAGGATTATCAAGTTGATTTTTCGTGGAAAAGTCCAAGATTCTGTGAGGCCGCCATCATTGATTGTCGGGATTATCTATTATGTTAAACTGACACCGGAAGGATTTGATAATTTATTTGTGAACAACAATAATAAACAAGATAATTACTGTATCAATTAAGGCAAACAATATCATGCAAGTGTTTAAAACTGTGATAGCAACTAGGAAGACAGAAAACTATCAATCGGTAGAGACGGTGGCCTGTTTGGAACACTGAAAAATATGTAGATTATCATTTGATTATCTTTATCATTGGTTTGACGTGTCAGCTCCAAGAGATTGTTTTTGACTGAATTTTAAAGTACCAGTATTTCCAACCCCAAAATGTACCTGCCTACATTATATAGTTGTAGACATTATGTAAGTTTTTACAGTGTGCAACTTAATCAGCAATACAGATATTTAAACTGGATTATAACATAAATGTATTCATGCAATGTTCACATTTTTGTAAGATTATTTCTCATCAGAAAATTGCTGTTTTGTGTACCTAGTGCGAGAGTGCATTGATTTTGTAAATGTAATGAATATGTGGTAATTATTAATTTACCTGATTCTTGACACTGGCAAACATGTTGAGTGGTAGGAGAGGGTGAATATGGTTTGCTGATCCAGGGGTAAACATGGTCTCTCTCTGACGGGTCAAAGCATGGCTCCATGTGGTCTTGTTCCATACAGCACATCTGCACTGGGTTGTGGTGTTGCTGAAATGCTGTTTAAAACAAGGGAAAAAAGAAATTCATTTGTGTACTTTGTAAGACCACAAACAATGACTTGTTATCATTCCATCATTTCACCTTTGAAATGAATAACAATTTCATTTATTATTAAGACAATTTTAGTTTTATATGCTACCGAATATCACATTTACCTTGACTTTTTTAATTACCTTAACCATGTAAGAGTTGCCATATTATCTGAACCAATCATCTTCAAGCAGCAATGGATGGTTCCGGCCATGCGTTCACAGATCTAGAGACCCGATAAACTGTAATATATAATAGCTTATGGATAATTGTTTGTTTTTGCTGTTTATTTATTTTTTTTTTTTAATTGATGAATAATGACAAAATTTAATTAATTCAATATTATATATAAAGTTAATAATGAGAAGGATGTGAACATGAAAAGCAGAATGTAAATAATAGATGATTTGTGGGGACAGATTGTTTTTATTGAATTAAACATATTTAATTGTAAATTATTTACAAAAGGATCGGGCACAAGTTATTTCAACTTATAGTTGCCCTTTCCTCAATACATTACAAAACAAAAACATCACAATATCAAGTCATCAATAATTTACATAAATATTGGCTAATATATTTTTAAAGAGAAGGGAAAGAGAGAGGGTGGGGGTGTGGTGGTGGGGAGTAGAAGGGATGATGTCATTGGAAGTGAAATTATAACAGAGTTTCATGGTTAAAACCTGTTGCTACGTTTTATAAAACGTTGGACTCGTAAAAAAATCAGAGTTTGTTTCTGGGGAAAGTTGATCATTTCCATTAAGGAGCAGATCTACCTCACAGTGAACTTGTAAATTCATATCATTTAAGCGTTGGAAAAGGCCATTTCTGTGAACATTATACCGATGGCATTCAAAGAAAAAGTGATAGACATTTTCACATATATTTCCACATACACAGCTATTTGATTAAACTGTATCGTAAAATATACAATGGTCATATTTTTAAAAAAAAACTAAAACAAAACAAAGAAAAATGGGGTTTTGGAAACAAATCAGCTTTCGGCATGTATGTAGAATCTCATTCATTGTTTCATTGTCAACCACGAAAGATACCAGATCTGTAGGAACAGAGACATATATAACGTGTTATATACGTCTCTGGTAGGAATAAGGTAACTTATTAAAATTGATACCAGTTCGATGAGATGAGTGATTTATGATTTTGTAAGTCGGCCCAGCTGAAAATCAGGTCTATTTACCCAAGTGAAAACGACCTAAGATAATTTGGCATCTATATTTATATATATTTATTTATTTATTAGTCAGTAATATGTTATTTTGAATCCGTTTTCAATCTGATTCTGTCGACTTTCTGATAATATGGCTATTTCAACGTTCACATACTTCGATGATGCCGATTACTAATAATTTTCTGCTCAGTAAAGAAAAGAGTCCAACCAGGGGAGGCAACCGGTACATAACAAATATTGGCAGGATTATTTGTTATTAAATAGAAAAATCAATTAAGTTTAAACATATTTTATTTGCCAAAATTTGACAACAATGGATTGGGCACAAGTTATTTCAACATTATCAACGCCCTCTCCGATTAACATTTATATAAATTTTAAAGTGATGGCATAACGGACACAACAGAAACATAATTACTACCGAACTTTTTATATACAATGCTGGTCTGTAGTAACTTAAATTGTAAATCTATTGCTGGCACTTATATAAATTTGTACTATTCTAAAAATGTCTATATCAATATCTAAAGGTAATTGATTATCCCCAAAAAGTAATAAATCAATATCAATTATGTGATTAAAACGTAGTATATTTAAGTCATTTAACATATTAAGTCCCTGATTTTGGTAATTTGGACAAACGAAGAAGAAATGATAGTTATCTTCACAGGCAAAGCCACAGGAACACATTGGAGAATTCACGAGATTCACACGGAAAAGATCGTAATTTAAAGAACTGCACGCATGTCTTAATTTTGTATGAATAATATTTAGTTTTCTCTCTCCATAATTGAAATAAGGGGGTGGAGTCATCTCTCTTTGACCAGAAAACAAAGCCTTTTTAAAACGACTAAGTGATGGTTGTAACCTGACCGATAAATCTAATTTATTCCATAAACGAATTGTGGAAGGGATGACCGACAAATTTGTATGTGATAATCTATAATTAGGTAAAGTGAAATTATTTCTATTTCTTAGGCTATACGGGTTAATTTGATCTACAGTTGGTGGCAATAAAACATTTAGAAAAATCGATTTTCTCGACTACGCTGTCATTAATTTATTTTGAACGAGGTCTGTAAAACTGTATTGTTTTTTTAAAGAGGGAAGTTAGCCGATGCTTACAGGTGTACAATTGAAGAAAAAAAATATGAACGTCGTTTTATTAGCTCTTGAAACATCGAGGCCTCCTCATTAAGAGCCATAATTTTGTGTGTTTTTATTATTTTTATTTTTTTAAATTGAAACCCAAAGTTTAATAATAAATTTTGCAATGCTTAGAATTTCACTACATGTTTAATGATCCAAACTGAATTCATAGTACAATAAAACCCTGATAAGTCTAACTCCTTTGGATAATGTTAATAGTTTTAGAGGCATATAAGAAATTGTCGAAAAAAAAAAAACACTTTTTTTAAGACTCGTTTTCTTAAATACCATTAGAAAGGAAAACTTATAAGATACTACATCAATATCAATTAACTAGTGAATGCATTTACAGTAAGAAATATCAATTCAATATCAATCTAATTCCCAGCCCTTTATGTACACTGTGTAATATAGAAAGAAAAACAATCGTTCACTGTCTATGGGAGTGTATAGAGGTACAGACTCTATTGGAGAAATTTGAATCTCTTCTTGATATTCTTCTGATTCCTTTCTGGATAAACAAAGAAACATATTTATTTGGAATTATCCATCCTAATGCTAACACTGTCGATAATGAAATTTTAATTCTCATTAAACACTTATGTTTATATGTCAAGATTTCTACAAAAATCTCTTAATTTAAATGCTCTTATAAATAAGATTACGGATCATTTCCATGTTCAAAAGTACAACATTTCTAGCAAAATCACTATTATGAAAACAAATTTTGAGAATAATTGAAAAAAATGGATGCCCATTTTAGAACTATAGTATGTATGCTAACAAGTCTGTTCCCCATGGCCATGATGGCCTTGACTTTACCAAATTTACTTTAAATTTATTTAATTTCCAGAAAATTAGTGCTATGTTTATTTAATAATGATCATAACCCAACCCCCCCCCTCTCTCTCTCTCTCTCTCTCTCTCTCTCTCTCTGTGTGTGTGTGTTTAGGATACATAATGTTATATATATATATATATATATATATAATAAAATGTATTTATGAGTGAGTATAGGTGTGTGAGGAAATATCTTTGATAAGTGTATGTGATATGATTTTGTACTTGTGTGTGAGAGTATTTTGTTAAGTACATGTAAGTTTGCTATGAGTGTAAGTGGGTGTGAATGTTGATGAGTGAATTTGTGTGCAGGAAGTAGTAGATACATGTGCATGTTGGTAAAAATGATGATGATGATGATGATGATGATGATGATGATGCATGTACATGTGTAAGCCATAGAACACATGTGTGAGAGTGTGTGTGTATGTTTTTGTGTGGATTCTCTTGTATATTGTGTAATATGTAAAAACTTGTCAAAAAAATGAATGAATTAAAAAAAAATCGATGCATAATGAACATAAGTGGTCTTACCATCATATGCACCAACGGAAGCTAGATAACGTTCTGTTTATGCCTCCAGCGTGATGATAGTGAAATGGCGTAACAGGATTCACTCTCACTTAGCCTGCATCTGAAAATTACCTTGTATCACCTAGCCTGCACGGTATATCTCACGCATGAGTGACTTTCAAATATTTTCTTTATGATATTTGACACTTATCATAAAACATGAGATAGTTGATAAATATATTAAAATGTAAAGCAAACGAACCCAAACATACAAATATACATCATGGGCTTCGAATAGATCTATTCTGAGCATACATGTATAATTTTATTTATGAAAGGTTGAATTACCTCAGAAATGAAATATTATTCTAAAAAACAAACAAGATAAAAATATATATTCAACAGTATTTCAAAACACATTTGATTACATGTTTTGATGTGTAGAAAAATAAAACAAAATGATATCCTAATTATATGTGTTCAGACACATGTACATAAAAAAAAAATATGTCCCCCGTTCTTGTGATTCCAATTTCCAATTATTTTTCTTGTTGATTATAGTATGGTGTTGTTGTGTACATAGACAGTGCCATGCAGTAGAAACAATATTTCATTTATCATAAACATCGTCAAATTATTGTGCGTTGTCAATAAATGTGTTTATAAGAAATATTTAAAACTTTAAAATCTGTTTCAATTACCATCTATATTGGTTACATTATGTACAAAATTATTAATTATGAATTCAATGTGTTATGTGAAAAAATCAAATGTTTTATGAAACAAAAGTGTTGTATACACTGGAAGACAAACTTTTCTGAATTGGACTATAGTCTTCTTACCTGTAAATAAGACCTATTGTTTAACACTAACGCCCAGTCTGTCTTAGCCTACGCAGAAAAACGTATTTTTACATAGGTAAACACCAAATGCAGGCTTAACAAGCAGAAACCGAGAAACTACAGCTGAGAAAAGTTGTATCGACAGAGACACGATTACATAAAATATTCACGTGTAATATGGAAATTATTAAACATGTCACTCAAGCGAGTGAAATATCAAATTATTGAACTTGTTTTATAAATTGCATATTATATGGGCACGGGTGAAAGATCCCATTTATCATTTAACCATTTTTTTTCTGAAAAAGAAAAGTTAACACTCGAAATATTTTCACTGCAACACCGCGAGACTTTTTTCGACCCGGGCTGGACGGTTTTTCACTACCTGACGTCACAATAGTGTTATTTCACACGTGTTTTACGATATTTTTATGACATAGTCGTATAGAGATGACACAACAGGTCAGTTTTGTGTTATGTCCTTAGTAATAAAAAGGAAATCCAGGAACTGCTCGAATTTACACTTTTTAAATTTTTTTTTTATCAAAAAGAAGAAGAATATCTGTATACAAATTTAGGGAACATTACGTTCATTAATCTGATCTTGATAGAAGAAAGAAATACATTTAAAGTACAAAGGAAGTCATATAAGGTGAATAGGCAACTACGAAGGTAACTTGTGACTCATAAAACATTCCTTGCATATATTCCATTTTTTTTTTATAATTTTACATGACAAAACTATTAACGCCGGATCTCAGAGTCGTTTTCGTGAGACTGAGACTAAGGCGGAGTCGTGACTAGTATTTAATTTTGGATCAATGAAGCTTATAAAATATATTCCAGTGAAAGAAGAATCCGTAAAATGCCATTTCAGTTTGAAAATAAACTGCAACGAACGTGATTCCTAACATGTTCTGCATTGTGTTAATCTCTTCTCTGTGTGTTTGACTCTTCATGTGACTCCTACGATGGATACACTGAAATTTAGACGTTGGTTATTTTGGGCATGAATGAACTGTATGCATCGTAAAAAAATCTATTTAGCTACGATTTACCTGTATACTTTGAAATTTTAGTGTATGGTTTTGATAGTGTAATATTTTGAAATCAACGAAGAGATGTTTTTAATCTTCTGAAAAAAAATGACGTGACACAGGACAATCAGTCTCGTCAAATCCATTTCCTTGTGGACTTTTGGTATTGTGTGTTTAAAAATTTGGTTATTTCGCAGAACAACAAGCTCAAGATTAACAAAATGATTAACATATAATAATCGTAACTACAAGTACAAAATATATGTATATATATATATGTAAGCAGACCGGAGCACGTACACGTCAGTTTTCGTAGTAGTCTATTTTGCATCGGCGTTTATGCACACGTTTTCATGGACACTGTATAGAATTATATACCAATAAAAAGAAAACTAAAGAAATGATTTAGGAAAATGACATCGCGATTAAAATCTCTATTCTGGCGATTTTATTTCAGAAAAAAAAAATAATCTCGACCGTGTCGATTATGATTACGGAAAGCCGCGAAAGCTCACGATATCCATGCCGTGGTGCATTGTGGGATCGCGGGGAAGCGTGCCGGGTCTGTATGGCCGAAAAATCGAAGCTCACTTTGTAAAAAAGAAAATATTGGACATTTAGGATAAGCATTCTGTTGTTTGTGGCCTGAGATCAATTCCCATAGGTATTAAGTTGACTGACATCACATTCGAGGTAAGTTTTGTTGTCGTAAACTTCAGCAGGGGAAGAAAGACAACGGGCGATAACTAAAATGGCCTGTTTTTCAGTTACTGCCCTTGAAGTAAACAGGGGCGACAATTTATTTAATTTTCGGGTATGAGGGCATGTGTAAGTACTCAGAAATGTTGATCAGTAGTGCCATTCCAGAAACTATTTGATGGATTCTGTTGAAATATGTAATAAACAGGGAAATTTCTCAAAAATCTGTATGCATTATACGTATTTCAAAATGGCGGATTTATGACAAAGTACCTAGTCGGTGCGGCATTCATTATGATCATAATGAAATGTAGGTCGTTCACGATTGGAGTGAGTTCCCCTGGAATGAATTTGATTCCGTTGACATCAGTTATGCTGTACACAAACGTATAGGTAAAGGAGGCACTATACGTGCATTAAAATATTAAGATAAATGTATTCAGATTTATTTCTTTTTTTTTGTCGCAGGTCATAGGTCAAAATGCTAGAGTGTTTAGATCATGTGACTACATGGATTAAGTAGAGCTGACTCGACAATAAAATGTGCATCATTTCCTGCATTATAACGTGTGCAACATTAAACAGTACACAGAGTATGCACGCTAGGAAATTTATGTTCCTTAATATTAAATTTACTTCGATCCATCTTGATATCACGATTGAATTATATGGGTGGATCCCGACCCAACCCAAGTACAAGATTTTGAAATTGATGTCATAATTGAATAAACATGCAACACTCCGAATCTGATTGATTATTGATTGTGTTTCTAAAACTCATCTTTTCATCTGAAGCAATTACTTTTTTTTTTATATATATATGTTTCTAGTTCTCTACTTACAAATAACCTTTACAGGGAAACATATTTCTGATTTCATCTATATAAAATATTTGTATTTGTATAAAATGAAAACTGAAATCTTTTTTTAGAATTAGTATGATTTTAAAAGTTGTAGATAAAGTATATTACATATGCATTAAAACTTTCTTCAATCACACACTAATTGAAACTTATGTCTGGTATGCAATAATCAGGCAATTGCAATGGGGCAGAACTTTATAGATGATACTGGCTAACTTTGATGACTTCCAATAGTTATTGTTTTCAAAATTGTGGAAAAGATTTATGTACATCTTCAAATTGAAGATATGTTTAGTGGATTAAAAGACAAATTTTCATGAATTTCTGCCGATAAGCAATACAGAACCTTTGTATGTGTTAGTCTTTGTTTGTCAAAACTGAAAGTAGTAAGGTAGACAATGTAACAAACAAACCTTTGAGTGTAGAAACTGGTGGATTTGAACATAATTTTTGAAATCACAAGGCAGGCAGGTGGTAATGCAAGTATGCCATTTACGGTCATTGTGCATCTTTAAAATCATATGATTTAACATGTGTCCTGAAACATCGACATCATTCACTAAATAAGTAACTTATCATTTGATGTTCAATTTTAGGATGGATAATCCTGTCCCACCACAGGGGGAGTCTGTTGTAGTGGAGGAACAGGTTATTTCCATGGATCCACCTGCTGACCAAGTTGTAAGATTTCCTTTTGATCTATATTCATTGTACAGATTCATAAACACTTTCATTTTTTTTTTTTTTTTTTTTATAAATGCCATGGCTCTAAGTAAATACATTGTAAACAAAATGACTTATAATATATGATGCATGCAAGTTTTTGAGAGCCAGAAATCACAAGTGAACACAGTTTACCCAACACCAATTTAGAGTAAAAAAGGGTTCTCAGTCCCTAGAGTTTAGACTGAAAAAAGTTTGGATAATTTATGACAAAGTTTCTGTTTTACACTCAATAAAATGGTGAATTTATGACAAGGCTATTCCTTTCCTATTTTATATATTCCTTTTGACAAAATGCAAATAACGACTAGCAATACTTAGATATGGACTCTGTTGATTGTATCCAGGGTATGATATTAATATTTGATCTAGATATATTTGAAGTAAGAATTTCTTGACTATTATTATGTCAAGTGGAAATCTAGAGGAGAAAATACTTATGAATCTATTTTGGTAGCAAACTGAGATAGTGATGGCTGACCCAGTGGAAGAGTCGACCATGGAAGCTGAGCCGGGTGTAGTGATATATCCCTCTGAGAACCTGGCAGCAGATGGTGCTGATCTTGCCCAGTATAGCGAGGTAGAGGCTGTTAGTAGCACAATGCCAGCAGTGATCATGGCTGAGCCTCTTGCCCAGCAGGAAAATGCAACAACACAAGTTGTACATGTTACAGGTAATTTCATGTGTCCTGGTAGAAGGAAGATGTCAGGGAAAATGATAATTGCAGGTTCAAATTATTTTACAGCAAATTGTGTCAAACTTTTGACCTCTTGAGCTGCTTTAAGTAGCTGGCATGTTTATTCATATTTGGTTATTAATTGTCCGGCCTTGCTGTCTAAGAATATTTTCCTATTTACTTCTTTCCTTTACTTTGTGTATAACATGTTTGATCAAGAACTGAATAGTAATTGCTTCAATTAACCTGTATACTTTAAAAGTTTAATTGTTCATCGTCACTAAGGTTATAACCTCAACACCAAATGTTTCTTGTTCATGTGTCATCTCATGACATAAATAGTTGTGATATTGATGAAGAAGGACAATACATCAGCTACCATCAAGTAGGAAATATCAATTGTCACATTTTACTGATGTTTATTACTTTTGTGTGACCTGAATTGCTCAATAATATCTTCCACTACATGGACACTTAACACAGTGATTTCGTGTTCAGTGTATATTGGCACACTTTTATTCCGATTACCGAGGTTGTCTGAGCTGACACTTATGATATTATTTGTTTAATTTGTGTAATACTGTATTGTATATTACTTTGATAAATCTACATATAACTTTGGAACAAATTACTGAAATTATGTATTGTTTTTCTTGTCTTCCAAAAATTAAGAAAAGTACATGTATGTTGGTAAATCAATGACCTAATAAGAATAATGTTTTTGCTTCCCAAAGCTATGATACACAAAATCTCAGAACAAACATTGAAGCTCCTATAACAGTTGAAAACGTATAATTGTAACTTATTGGAGCAATGATTTCTTTATCAGGTAATGTACTGAATGGTTTTAGAAACTGAAAAGATACATGTATGATGTGCACTATTTTTAGGAAGTTTTTATATTTCATTAAAGTGAAACGCACCATACACAAGAACAAGAAGTTCATATATAGGCCAATGCCTTCCCATATTGAAAACAGTTATTGTACAATGCTGTCAAAGTGATAAAGTTTAACCCAGCCAAGTATCAATACTAGGTGGCAAAATTTACTCTCTGGAAAGACTTTATTATTATTTACTGCAGTATTTTTAAAATGCATCAATATATTGTCTTAGAATTCATTGAATGTATACTTTGTAATTTCAGTATCACTTGAACATCTTTAAAAGGTGTTGGCATGGATAGTTGTCTTTGTAATAGAAAATATATCTGTTTAATGGGATATTTTTTATAACAATAATATATTTGTTCGAAACCTTTTGACCTAGATATTTGAATTACTTTTAATTTGCATAAACCTGATTGTGATGTTAGATATTTTATTATTTACAGCTGGAGAAACAGTGGACAGTGCAAGCTATGTAATATCTAACCAGGGTACCCAGCAGGGTCAGTGTGAGGCAGGTCTATCCATGGACAACGTGTCCTATCACATGGAGGCTCTGCCGATGCCTGTTGTTCCTGACATGGTAGAGGAATCTGTAGAGGAGATGGAGGAGGAGGCTGATGTTGTGGAGGGAGATAACTCTGAGGAAGCTGTAGAAGACATTTCTCACATGCAAGTTCTTCATGTAACAGCAGGTATTTAACAGGAAAAAAATTATAGACTGATTAAAATTGATAAAAGTAACAATTTTCATTATTGTATTGGTTAGTCAAATGTTTACATTGTCTATTTCCATTATATATGGAAAGCTGAACATTGATTGCTACAGCCTACCTACATTTGATTTGTAATATATAGATTATGCCTAGTTGTCCTTAGTATTAGATAAATGATAATTTTTATTGTTTGAAAGTTGTTCTCTTGTTGAACAATTCAATAATTAACGCTTTGTCTGGGTATGTGTTTGTTAGGAGATTCAGATATGTTGTATGATTGTAGCATAGACATTAGAACAATTATATATATTGTATTATGAAGAAAAGATGGTGGTTGGGTGTTACCTGCATATATTGATATTAACTGTCCAGTACTTTCCAGGAATAGTGAAAAGCAACTATAATTGTATCTGCTAGCATTTAGTTATATAATTGAAACAAACATTTTTGAAAATCAATGTTTAATATCATATACAAAGCTCTTCATATCATAAGACATTGATTGGTTTATTTCATCCACTTTCTGAATTTGGGCATTGTACAAGTCTTGGAATTTTCTCAACCTTTTGCCAATTGTCATATTAGATCAGGTTTGTGATTTGTAATCAACAATATTTTGTGAGGTTATTACAAAATAAGATGCTTTATGATTGTGTTGTAGATGGACTTCAGGTGATACAGAGTAATGGTGCTGTGGAAGCAGCTGTCCAACAGACAAATGAAGAAGTGAGTCATTCCTATAAGTTTCTATACTTTTTGTTTTAAACATATTTTTACAGATAAAACATATTAATGAAAATAGCTCATCAGCACAGTTATATGTCAGATTAACAATACAGTGAGAGAACTTCAGAAAGCAACAGTAGTAGGTAACTTTGCTAACAAAAGCAACTTAAGAAATGTGATGTTATTATTGTTAGTTAATTCATAGAGCCTCTTCATGTTTCTACCATGTACTATCAGACCACTTGTTGCTTAATTCAAACATTTTGAAAATTGTGATGAAAACATTGGAGACAGGAATGAGAATTGGTCTAATAGTTAGATCTTAATACTGGGTTGAATTTCTTACAGATATTAGCTGCTGAACAAAGGGAAGATGAAGTAGAGGAGGAGATGATGACTGCTGAATCAACTGACCTGACACCTGTAGAATCTTATACTACTGTACAAGAACCTGCAACAAATGTGGTCCCAGTGGAGTCCTATACTACTGAACAAGAACCTGTAACAAATGTGGTCCCAGTGGAGTCCTATACCACTGTACAAGAACCTGCAACAAATGTGGTCCCCGTGGAGTCCTACACTACTGAACAAGAACCTGTAACAAATGTGGTACCAGATGAGTCTTATACCACTGTACAAGAACCTGTAACAAATGTGGTACCAGATGAGTCCTATACCAATGTACAAGAACCTGTAACAAATGTGGTCCCAGTGGAGTCCTATACCACTGTACAAGAACCTGTAACAAATGTGGTCCCAGTGGAGTCCTATACCAATGTACAAGAGGCTGTAACAAATATGACACCAGTAGAGTCCTTTTCATCTGAACAACAACCAGTAACAGAGGCTGTCATTGAACCTGAGACCTATGCCCCCCTTGGAGAGGAACATGTAGAAGAAGCACAACCTGTTCTTTCACAACAAAACACAGATGAAGTGGTAGACTCTGTCCCAGTTACAGCAAAAATAGACGATCCTGAGCAAGAAGAGGAACCAGGAAATATTGTAGAGGAGGAAAAGGAGGTGGAGGAAGTTGAAAATTTAGAGGATGTTGATGAAGAAGATGAACTTATAGAAGAAGGAGATGTGAAGATAATTCAGTTAAACACAGAGAATGCATTGGAAGAGGATGGGGATGACAATGAACCAGATGTGCTTGAAAATGAGGAAGAAAAAATACTTGAAAAGGAAGAAAAAATGCCTCAAGATGAAGATGAAACGAATGAAGATACTCTGTTTGGAAAGAGGGATACTCCAACTGCGTCAGTGATAGATCCAAGTACAGGTGCCACTATAGAAACTCTGAAATGTGATGATGGTGGAACAGTAGACGTAACATACAATGTTGATGATGATGATGATGATGAGGGTGAGGTTGAGCCACTACCAGGACCTGATGATGATGAAGATGAATATGAAGAAGAACCAGAGGAAGAAGAGGAGGAAGTGCAAGATGAAGAACAGGAAGGTGAACAAGAGGAAGAGATCATGGAAGTAGAGGAAGAAGTAGAGCCAGAGGAAGAGGAGGAAATCGAAGAAAAGAAGGTGCCAGCAAAACGTAGGGGACGACCGTCAAAAGTAATGGAGGAAGCTGCAGCTAGTGCTGTCAAATCACGCAGGAAGTCTGCTTCTGCTGTTGACACTCCCGAGATAAATACACCAGGCAGAAGGGGTAGTGTAGAAGTGGAAACACCAGAAGTAAAACGCGGAAGAGGAAGACCCGCCAAGGAAACACCATCTTTAGATACACCAGAATCAAAAAGAGGAAGAGGAAGGCCAGCTAAAACTGTTAAACAGGAAGCGGGTGAAGAAGAAACTCCAGAGCTTCCAAAGAGTGGTCGTAGAGGTAGACCACCAAAAGAGAGTGCTGATACAGTTACAACACCAGAGAAATCTAGAGGAAGAGGACGCCCTTCAAAAGAAGCCAAAACAGAGGAAACTCCAGAAGTTAAAACGCCAGGAAGGAGAGGAAGGCCAAAAAAGAAAGAAGTTGAAGTAGAAGAAGAAGAGGAGGAAGAGGACGAAGAAGTTGAGGAACCAATTTCTATTCCGAGGGGTAGAAAAGGTAAATCACAAGAAGCAGTAACACCAAGTTCAAGTAGTGAACCCAAGAAGAGAGGAAGACCTCGAAAAGAAGAGGAAGACGCTCCTACACCAAAGAGTAGGGGAAGAGGTAGGCCTAAAAAGGAACAGGTTGTTGAGATTGAAGAGGAAGAAGAGGAGGATGAAGATGAAGAAATGGAAGAAGAGGAGGAAGTTGTCGAAGTTAAGAGAAAACGTGGGCGGCCGTCAAAATCTAGTACACCAGTTAGAATAGAAACACCATCAGCTGGAAAAGGAAAATCAAAAGAAACCATCACCAGAAGTAAACTTGCTGAAGAAGAAGATTCTGACAAATCTAAACGGAGGTCAGGTAAAGGAAAACAAGTTGAGGATGAAACTGAAGAAGAGTTAGTAAAATCTCCAGGAAAAAAGGGCAAGGGAAAGAAGAAAGAGGATGAAGACAAAACAAGAAGGACACCTGCTGCAACAGCTACTGTCACTCCTGTCACTAAGAAACGAGGAAGGGGTGCAGATGAAGAATTTCAGGAAGATGAGGAAGAAGAGGGTGTTGTAGTAGCTGAAGTGGAGACACCTGCTAGAAAACGCATGAAAAATAGTGAAAGTGTGCAGACAATGTCTGATGCATCAACAGAGGCCGGTAAAGTCACTTTGCATAGAGTAAAACAGGAGCCTATGGATGATGACAAACAACAATTGAAAATGAAGACAGTCATAGTAAGAGAGGATCAGGGAGACATCTATAGTATTGACCAAATTGATGAGGATGAACCTATGGAATCTTCACTTGCTGGGCCAAATACACCTGTAGCACCTTTTATTGAGGTGGAAACTATTGAAGAATCACCTGGAAAGAGATCAGTTCTGACCCAGACTGATCCAAAACTGAAGAAAAAAAAATTTGGACCGCTCGGTTTAGAAATGGATTTAAATGGAGAGGAAAAGTCTCCACGAAAAAGGAAAAAGAAAGAAGAAGATGTTGGAATGTTTGAAGACCTTGAACCAAAGAGGAGATCTGTTAGGAACACTGAGGAGGCTTTGAATTGTCCCTTCTGTGATAAAGCGTTTATTGGCCTTGTGAAGCACATCAAGGGTAAGCACAGGGACGAGACAGACTATGAGGAAGAAATGAGGAATGCCAAGTGGAGAGAAAAGATAATGAAGGTGTCAACACAAGGTGCTGAAGAAGATGGTGAGCAGTGCCAAGAATGTGGCAAAACCACTAAGAATATCAAACGTCACCAAGAACTTCACCAACAGAACCGCATGCAAATACCTTGCCCAATCTGTGGCAAAGTGGTTCTCAAAACTGGTATGAGCTCCCATATGCGTACTGTGCACTCAGGTCGCCGCCCATACAAGTGTCCACACTGTGATTACTCATCTGCATTCCGTGGAAATCTGAACACCCATATTAAGGGCATGCATCTCCATACTCGCCAATATCTCTGCAATACATGCAAGGCTGCATTCAAGACACTCGGAGCTCTGATCGGTCACACCAAACGTGTTCATGAAGGATGGAAGTCTCCTAACCAGAAGATCTTTATTTGCTCAGTTTGTGAGAAACGCTTCACTAAGAAATATCATGTAGATAGGCACATGTTGATCCACACAGGAGAGAAGCCGCACAAGTGTATAGACTGTGGACGATGCTTCAATAATAAGTCCAATCTTATGTCCCACATTCAACTGGTGCATAAAAAACTGTCACCCTACCAATGTGACATGTGCCAGGAGACTTTCAAGCGCAAGAAGCTCCTGTTGGAGCACATTGGCAAAGTCCATGTCACTGCTGGGGAAGCTGCACAGGCTATCATTCGCAAGTTTGAACTTGAAGAGGACTCTGATGATGAACTTGATGATGAGGATATGGATGAACAGGGTGCAGTTGCACAAGTAAGTACAATTGTTAAAAGGCAATATTATTTAAGCTGATTGCTGATCTGGCATTTTCTCACAATTTGATCTTTTTTGTCAACTGTATTAATTGTATATAGATTTTTTTTGCTGTCAGACTGCTATTTCAATAAGTTATCTACCTATCTGTTTTTATTTTCTCAAGCACATACTTCGCTTTGCATGGAATTTGTCTTTTGAATCTGATCAGTGGAAAAATATTTTACTGGAATAACCCTTTGGTAAAAGACTTTTCGCCTTGACTCATAAGATATGAAAACAATGATAATAGACATGTAGAGATGCTGCTGTAGTCTGAATCATTCCTGGATTCTGTTCCCATTTTTATACTGTCATTGACAAACTTATAACAAAAAGGCACTAGAATGTGGAATTATTTGGATTGAGATGTATAATAAATCTTGTCCTATTAAAATCACAACTGATTTAGATAACACTCTACTGATGTTCCATGATATAAATTGTGAAGTAAATGCAAGTAGATCTTACAAGTGGTGAAATAATACGAGACTTGTTACCAGAGGTATTTTGGTAGGAAACCTCCTTTAAGATGAAAATATACTGGACTAAACATATCAATTTTCTCTATTTCAGACTAACTTTTTGAATTTTGTTTTGATTTTTCTTCAGGTTGAAAATGTGCATCTGGAGGAAGATGGTCAGACGTATGTAACAGTGTCTGGGAATGATGGTGCCTACACGACAGCAGTGGTCAGTGACACAGCTCAACTACTGGCAGGACAGGGACTGACCACACTTCAAACTGAGGGTGGACAGGAGACCATCATCATTGTCCAGACTGCTGATGGTGGGGAAAATGCAACACATGCCATTGTGGACCAGGATGGTACTGTACAGTATGTCATGCAACAGCCCATGGATGCAGGAGCTGATGGTGCGCAGCTGTATGCTCAGATACAGCAGGGCACAGTGTGAAGTCTTTAAGTATTTGATAATTTTTTTTTTTTTTTTTTTTTTACAATTTCAAAGGATCAGTGGTATTAGCACACCATAGACAGTGATGAAGAAGTTGTTTTCCTGTATGATGGTAGTGTTACACAATCACACAAACAATATGATTTTATGTCATTAGTGGATATATGCGAATAATAGGGATTCTAAAATGTTTTTTTTTTTAGAGTCAATACTACAAAAAAAGACAGTTAACATGGACGTGGTATAAAGATGACATATTTATATCATTAGAAGATCTATCAACATATTAATAAGAATTCTAAAATGTACATTTTTTTACTGTCAATACTAAAAAGACAAAAAATCCAATTTTCATATTGATCTGTACTGACAATTAAAATTTGATATGCTCTCAATTTATAATGCTCCTTTAAATTTCCCTTAATTTTATTTAAAATGCTTTTCTTAACTTTGGCATAAAAGGAACTTTAATATCTTTCAGTTCATAATTTTTTTTATTAAAGCCAATCGTGCATGAGGGTTACTAACACCAGGCATATAGAATTATGTAAGATTTTCTTTCTTAGCAATTTTTTATGGTAATTTTTTATTTATGAAAGTTACTCTTTATGAGATTTTTGTAAGCATAGGCCATGAGTACTTTCATTTAGTTTTAATTCAAACATTTGTGTCTCAATTTTTGTTATCTTTCTGAAGATTTGTGAAGTGTGATATCAAACTTTAATTTATATTTACATAACTCTGAAACTGGAAACCTTTCAATTAGTTTTTTATTAGGTGAAATATTTCTGACTGTTTGAATTACTCGTACATGTTGATGAGTATATAATGTACATTATCCATTTTCTGAAATGAAATAACACCAGAATTAAATTGTTCTCAAAGAATTTTTTAGAGTAGGTACATGAATGTAACTGGTAGCTTTGTCAGCTTTGCTGTGAACATTTTTTTTTTTCAAAACCATTCACCACACTCAAGATCTGATAAGCTATTATAGATTTCAAACCAGTGAATTTTAATTATGGTAAACTCTTAGAAAAAAGTTGTGAAAGGCTAACTCTCCATTAGAAATGTTTGTTGGTAGCCAGCTCAATATATTTTTAAGTCAAGATGTCTCAATATATAAGTTAATATTAGCTTTGTTCATTTTTATTTTAAGGAATTCTTATTTATTCATTCAAGATGCTTGTTTCTGTAATGTCATCAGCATCCCATTCCTATCTGATTCATGACAGTGCAGAGTGCAAAAGACCACACTCATCAAATAGTCATTTATGTTGAATAAGTATCATTTTTCTGTTGTCAATATGCTGTAAATCTTAAAGATTATAATAAGTTGTTTTTAATGTTGTTGGAGTCTATGTCCTGTCTAACAGCTTCAGCACTAAAACTGACTTTCAATATGAAGGATTGTGTGTTAAGCATTAAAAGCAGCTTCAGAAAGTTTTGAAAGATGTTGGAAATTGTGGGGAAAATGAGTATCTGTTGTTTTGGTGATACCCAAGATATCTTTCCAGGGTACAGGTCTTCAAAGCATATCAAGACCTTCATCACAATACAGATTCTCTCTGCTTCTGTCACTGATTTAGATTTTTAGTACTTTTACATGTCCAAGTCAAATTAGAAAAGTCTGGTGTTAGTTGTTTAGAATGCTATATAAATGTAATGTGTTTCCCATTCGAAATATACGGAGATGGCTGGGTGGAAAGCACACAATTGAGTAGTGTTGTATTAAGTGTGTTTCTTGTCAAGCTTGACGTAGTGACTTGATGTGTTGTATATATGGTAACATAAATCGTTGAGCTGTGAAAGGTGGATGAAATGTTTTTGTGGAGATTGAAGAATGAGGAAAGATTTTGTAGAATGTCGAAAACGAATGAGATTTTAACAAGATAAGCTGACATTCTGAAATATATATATCCAGATTTTAAGAGAACCCTTTTGTCAAATGAAAAGATTTTATAACAACAGATTAATTCACACACCCTTGTAAAGAACAAAGATTGTTGAGGACGAAGCTGCTTATTTTACATTACGTTGTATTTGCACAATGTTGTACAGTGAATTAGAAAATTTGAAGTCTCTTTGGCATATATATTGTTATTGTTAAGCTTGCATGTGTGGAAACTTTAAAATATTGTTGGCATGCAGTGTCGTACAAAAACTGTAGCACGGTGTCAGGAAGTAAACAGATGTGGAAAAGAAAGATTATGATAGTGAGTTGTGATTTTGACAAAGTGTATCGTGAGACTACAGGCATTTACATCCGATGTGAGAACAGGGCCTGGTTTCATATCTTTATTTTAAATTTCAAGATGTTTCTGCAGCAAACTTTTCCCTTTGGGGAAAATTGAAATTCAGAAAAGAAAGGATGTGAAATAGAATCAGGGCCTGCAGAATGTGGGTTTTCTCTTGATGTATGCAACTAATATGCATGGAAATAAAGATGAAAGAACTAGATAGTATTGTTTTGTCTTGAGCTCACCTGGCCTAGATTCCTCAAATCATTGGTTTTATACCAGTATGTGTAGTATGTTGAAACACTGAAAACGTCTTTCAGGTTGAAGACTTTTTTTTTCGTTGCCACCATGATCTGATAGTTCATGTATGTGCATCAAAAATTTAACTGGACATATTATGGCATGGCATTGTCAGTCTGACGCCATTTTTTTTTCTTTTTCGTCTGTCCAGAGACCTACTCCCACAGGTTTCAATCGATCTTCTACAAACTTGGTAGGCCGAAACACCTTGACATCAGGTATTTCCCCGAGTGACGGTTGGATTCGACTGTATTTGGCAGAGTTACTGCCCCTTGTCATCATAAAAGTTAATCTTATGCGGAGACTACAATTTTTTTCCAAATTAAGTAGGCCTAATCATCTGCATTTGGAAGGATTACTGCTCCTTGTTTTTATGTTGTGAAATGAAGTTTCATACATTATGAAGGTGGACTTGCTGAAACAGTTTCCCCATTTTTCTTGGCCCTTCGTCCACCTTTCCTTAAAAAACTCGTGTAAACGCTATTTGTTGGAAAGTGCACGAGGCATCCTCAAATTGTAATGTAGATTTCGCCGTGTCCGTAGCTGTGGAAATTGCCGTTGTGAAGTTCATTCCCGAAGTCCGTATCTGTTGATTTTGGTTGCAATCGTTACAACAAATGTCTACATATGGATGTTGACAAATTAGCCATTTTTTAATTATTTTCTTATGCTTTCTTATAAATGCCCTGTCCCTCAGGCCCCTGGGAATAGGGGGATGGGCTGTATGAAATCATAATTTTGGTTAATCTTCGGCCAGGGAAGGTTTCTGCAAAATTTCATTGAAATTGGATCAGTGGTTTTTGAGGAGAAGTCGAAAGTGTCGATTTGTTTACGGACGCATAATGCCGGATGAAGGATATTAGATTATTGGTATAAGAAATAGTTCAGACTTGGTTAGAATAATGAATGAAGGGTGACGGCTTGATGGTATGCCCACTTTCATCCTGACTGACCCACAGGGGCTGATCGGCGGGGCCAAAAGGGGTCAAATTGACTTAAATTTCAAAATTTTTAAACTTTATATAAAGATTTTTCTTAATGATCCAACCACATACATAAGATTAATTCACCTTTCAATATAACAACGAAAAGAAGAGAATCTCTTGCATTCATTTTACCACACCGGAATCATTTAATTCACTTAATCGGAATTAATTTTTTAAACTGTCTGAAAAAGATCACAATCAATTTAATTGCCATAATCCCACCCACCACACACGCACACACACAAATTGGTTTATAGGAAGATAAGGGATGCCTAATATTGCCGTATGTATTTATTGTCATGACAACCATTCAAGCGCAGATAGTGGCCTCTGATTGAAAATTAACTATGTCCCCCATTTTCACCAAATCTGGTTTATTGGAGCATTAGTGGGTGCCAAAAATCGCTTTGTATGTTTTATTGTCATGTAAACTACACTGAGGCAAACTTTGACTTCTTATTGGTTGACATTGCGATATTGTCTGATTTTACTTCATTGTCTATATAGATATATTAGGGAATGCGGGGGTATTAGTTATCCTTAGGATGACCGTTCTAGTTTCACTTGAAACTAAATCAACTATAGTCTAATGGTAATGATGTTTCTATTGAACTTTTTGAAGTCTAATTCGGGGCTTTGCACCGAGTTTTTTTACGTATGTAAATGTGGGATTGGAAGTTCCGTACTCCTTTACGGGTGTAGTGGTGGAATTTCAGTTCATTGTTATTGTCACAAAAGAAATTAGTCTGTTCCTTGTTCCTTGGAAAACTAAGGAAAGAAGAGCAGGATTTTCTGGAATTTATTACGTAATTGCTATTGTGTCACAGTATGAAAGGACCGAACTTCCCATTTTATAGCGTCACCAAACTGAAATAACAAAACCTCGTAGAAAGATCCTCCACTTGGTCATATTTACGAACAACGAGCTAACAAGGCACGTTCGGGGATTTCTCTGGAACATCTAGTGAGTAACCATGAATACTTTGCGCGTGTCTTTCGCAACACCGTAATGCGTTCAGGGTCCGTGTTGTACTGTACTGAAGGAAGGAAAGTCATTTTGATATCTTGTAAACCATGTCCGTCCGACAACTGTGTGATGACTAGGCAACCAGTGAGATGTCTCGGAGAATCTCCGACAGTTACAGTCATTTTACGACGGAGAGTGTATTTGGTAGCGTACCATCCTGGATAAGGAAACCGTCGGCAGACCCAATCTCTTAGTCTACATGAGGTCTTTTATACGACTTCAGGGACGCGTTGTTGTAGTGAGCAGTCGAAACAGACCATGTGTGCGAGTTATGGATTAATTTCTACATAGTACACAGAGAAAGTTGCCACCGTTTCCTGTGGGATACCGAATGCTATTGAAATTTGGCCAGTGTTATTACATTATTTGTTTACAATAGTTTTGTCTGGAATGGTGTATTATCTTGTCACAATAAAGATCATGCCTGTAGGTCGTTTACTGCAGAAATTACTTTTTTTTTTATTTCTTCTTGATATCTTATCACTTGATCACTTCGAGGGGAAAAAAGAAAAGAGAGAAAATAAAAGCATTTGCGACCGAAGGCATAATGCCTTGCTTTCTACAACTAAATTGGCCTGTCTCTCAGCAGGGACGACGAGTTTGTTGAAATGCATTATCATGGAAAATAGTTTGTGATACGATAACCTACCAAAATACATTCAATGTGTGTATATATAAACAAACGAAAATAAAAAAAAAACAGATAAACAACTGATTCAGAATTAAAGTAAATAACAGCCTCCATCCCGACCATCCTATCATATAGTGATACAAAACTTGATTCCGATATCCGTATCAATATTTCTGATACGTAAGTTACAAGTCAGTTCATATATCACAGCACACACATTGAAAACATGTCTGCATTGTTACGATCTTTATGTGGAACCCTTACTCCCTACTTTTTTCTAATTCCAATTGAAGACAACTTACGTCTTATGCTTTAGGTAATGGGAAACTTCCGTCCCTGGTCGATGTTTGGCGGCTAGAAGTATATGTAGTATAATTTTGAAAAAAAAAAACTAAGCTAGCAAAATTAATTTTGGTATTAAGTATATTTTAAACGTCAAAAAATATTGATTGATTAGTTATGATGGACATGCGCAATAGGAGGAACGTGATGACCATTGTCTTTTTACCTGTTTGACCAAGAACTTGATCTCTGGTCGACTTTGTTAAAGGCAAGTACGCACATTTGAAAGCTTTCCAATGCGCATCATGTCTTATAGTCATATGACACACAACTGTATACACATACCAGAAAGCTTCCATGACCTTTGACTCTTTCGAGACTCTACAGGTCTCAGACTAGGTATCAAATATACCAGGAAACGAACAATCTGCCAAATGTATTTGCGTGTCGTATTTTGGAAGGTTTAATACTGGTGTGTAACCGTATCATTTTTGTATTTATGACTGCAGTATGAACATGCATAGCTATAAAACTGTTTGACAGAGTTCGACCAGTATCGTTTTATTGTTGGGTCGCCAACAACTGTCAGGATGAATTGTATACACTCGGAACTAGGACGTCTAAAACCTTAAACAACACGACACGAATTGATCGATTCTCCAACAACGGAAAAGCATTTTATCATTAGTCTAGGGACTGTGTGCATTTGTATCTCATGCTTCCAAGCAACGAACCATTCGTTGTCTTTGTCCTGAAGGCCCAAGGTCATTTGCAAATAGCTACGAACCATTGTCGTTGTTTGTCAAGAATATTGTTGGGAAGTTGATGTCAATAACTTGCCTAACAGTGCAATGTCGATATAACACAATGTGATTCAATATAAGTTGAATAAAGTTAGCAACATATTTATCTGTAAGGTTTCGGAACTGCAAGTTCAACTATAGGGGAACATAGCGACACTTCAGCAGAAAGGTATAGCGGGACCACTACCTGTCGGAGTATAGCAGGACCACTACCTGTCAGTGTATAACGGGACCACTACCTGTAAGTGTATAGCGGGACCACTACCTGTCAGAGTATAGCGGGACCACTACCTGTCTGAGTATAGCGGGACCACAACCTGTCGGAGTACAGCCGGACCACTTCCTGTCGTAGTATAGCTGGACCACAACCTGTCGGAGAATAGCGGGACAACAACCTGTCGGAGTATAGCGGGACCACTACCTGTCGTAGTATAGCGGGACCACTTCCTGCCGTAGTATAGCGGGACGACAACATGTCGGAGTAAAGCGGGACCACAACCTGTCGGAGTATAGCTGGACAACAACCTGTCGGAGTATAGCGGGACAACAACCTGTCGGAGTATAGCGGGACCACAACCTGTCGGAATATAGCTGGACCACAACCTGTCGGAGTATAGCGAGGCAACAACCTGTCGGAGTATAGCGGGACCACAACCTGTCGGAATATAGCTGGACCACAACCTGTCGGAGTGTAGCGGGACCACTACCAGTCTGAGTATAGCGGGACCACTACATGTCTGAATATAGTGGGACCACAACCAGTCGGAGTATAGCTGGACAACAACCTGTCGGAGTATAGCGGGACAACAACCTGTCGGAGTATAGCGGGACCACAACCTGTCGGAATATAGCTGGACCACAACCTGTCGGAGTATAGCGAGACAACAACCTGTCTGAGTATAGCGGGACCACAACCTGTCGGAATATAGCTGGACCACAACCTGTCGGAGTGTAGCGGGACCACTACCAGTCTGAGTATAGCGGGACCACTACATGTCTGAATATAGTGGGACCACAACCTGTCGGAGTATAGCGGGACCACTACATGTCTGAGTATAGCGGGACCACAACCTGTCGGAGTATAGCGGGACCACAACCTGTCGGAATATAGCTGGACCACAACCTGTCGGAGTATAGCGGGACCACTACCAGTCTGAGTATAGCGGGACCACTACATGTCTGAGTATAGCT